GATACCCTTGAGTCAAGCAGATCACTGTGCACAGAATACTATAACGGCGTTAGCCAATGGGGGGTGTGTGTGCGCACAGTGACATCATAACAGTAAGAGAGAGAATGTATCGTACCTTTAGGGTTTATAGAGGTTACCTGTGGGTAGTGTGGATGGGCCTTTGGTGCCTCTGGTGAGGGCCCAGGCCTTTTTGCTATGTTGTCGTATTAAGATTAGTATCCTTGATGGATATCTATCCTTTGTCAATATCAATAAGTATCTTAGATTGCCTCTTGTTGGGCTTATCACTTAATAGGCCCATTATATGGGTCCATAACAGTAATATTAATGACGTCATAATTAAAAAGAAAAAGTTATTCCGCATTTTTAATTAAGCGTGGTTTAATACGATGATATGAGAACAAACCGGGTATACACGGGGTGTTACAAACCTAATTACGAATATATTGCACTCATTCACGCCCAAATTGGACGTGACCATTCACGCCTAAATTAGGCGTGACTAGGGGTGCTAAACAAGCCAGGGACCTTACAGGGGCATTTGGCTCAGCTCGTAAAGGGCTGAGCTTACTTGTCTAAAATTGATTGTTGGACCCCGGCTTGGACTTGTATAAAAGCTCGTTTAATAAAAAGGCCTCAGGCTCCAATTCAAAAGCTCGACCTTAGAGCCTCTCAGGCTTGCCTAATATATTATTTATTTTTATTTTTTTTATACTACTTGTGATAGCCCCCTCTCTCTTCTCAATTCATTTCATCCCATTTTATTAATTAAACAGACTTTTTAAATGATTTTGTTTTATATTATGCTATTTGGATATACATTAAATTTATGAATATTTATGGAATTACTAATGCTGTTGATTGTATATTTTGTTTGGATAAATTTTTGTTGTATTATTTTTTTTATATAGACTAAACAAGGCTTTTATTTTTTGTAAATGAGCCAGGCCACGTGCTGATATTATATTCATAACAGGTAACAGGCTAAGGCCAGTCTGACACATTTGAACACAGGCTCGGCCTGTTAAGACCAAAGCTCGGCTCGGCTCGTTAACACCCCTAGATGTGACTCCCAATGCATTCACACCTAAATTAGACGCGACTCGTCTGGTGTTGACACGTGACACAAAAAGTTAACAGTTTAATCGTAAAACTTCATAAGGCCATAACTTTTGACTCGGGTATCCGAATCAGGTAATTCTTTTTTTGATTCCATATAACTTTTCAAGATCTACGCAATGACATCTCATTTGATATATTTTATCTTTCACAAACAAAGTTCAAATTTGAAATAATGGTACTATAAAGATAACACTAAAGTGGATTAGCTCATTTATAAATAAGAATACTTAATGTCATATTAAAATATATACTTCTACCAAGTGTTTGAAAAAAAATTGTGTACAAGGTTATTGAATCGCAATACGTATCGTGTATCGTAAGGCCGACTTTTCATATCGTGAATCATATTGAATCGTAAGATACAGAATGACTGAGTCTCTGATACAAAACAATGACTGAGTATTTATGGCTGGATTCGTTGGAAGTTTATAGCCTATGAATGATTTTAAAAAATAAAATCCTTCTTCTTTATAGATTTAGAATATTTATTTAATTATTTTCTTTATTAATACAAAATTTTCAAATTGATTTTTGAGTTTAAATCACAAATCAAATCTTTATTTTGTTTTCCTTATTAATAATAACTTTTTAGATTTTTTAATTTAAATCACAAAACAAATATTTATTTATTTTTTATATTAAATTTTTTGATTTTTTTTAATTTAAATCATAAATCAAATCTTTATTTATTATTTTATATTAAATCACAAACTCATAACTCGGAGGCTTATGGGTTTAAGCGCTATTATAATACCATTATTGAAAATTTGAATTGTGTTTGTGAGAGATAAAATATATCAAATGAGATGTCATTGCGTAGATCTCGAAAAGTTATGTGGAATCAAAAAAAATATTACCTGATTCGGATACCCGAGTAAAAAGTTATTGATTTTCAAAGTTTTATGGTTCATAAGTTGACTTTTTTGTGCCACGTGTCAACACCAGATGAGTCACGCCTTATTTAGGCGTGAATACCTTGTGAGTCACGCCTAACTTAGGCGTGAATGATCACGCCTAATTTGGGCATGAATAAGTGCAATAAATTCGTAAATAATTTCGAAACACTATATATTCGTAATTATTTATTAAAATAATAATATTTTAATTGTTTTTGCGCAAATGCATATGGCCACATATCAGGAAAAAAAAAGGCCACGTATGCAGGACTATAAGATTTTCAAGGATATTTATTTAGCCTGGACCCAAATTATTGACATAATTGGGATTTGAATAGGATCTGTACTTATCCATTATTTGCTTGTCCATGATTAAATCAATTTCTCATGCTTGTCAATGATTATATCAATTTCTCATATATATATATAAATATATATGGAAAAATATTTATCGAGTAACTTGAGATAAGTTTATCTCCGGCCACTCCAAAACTACGTCGTTTTGTTTATTTATTTCCTTATATTAATTGATTCATCGTTAAATGGTTATGATTCCTTTTCCCTCAATCTTCCTTTATCATCATTGAGCCATCTTTGTACAGTTATAATTTAGTAGCCGGAGATAACTTTATCTCCAGCAACTTGAGAAATGATAAGCCCATATATATATATATGAGAAAAATATTTGTCATTTTAAATGACATATGTCATTCAAAGAGAGAGATAAAAACAAAATAATATTTTTTATTTAAAATTTAAATTTAAAAAAAAACACTCTTTTTTTCCCATGATTTTTATTGCTTGTGTCTATTTTTTTCTTAAAAAGACATAATTTTATGTCATTTAAAATGACAAACATCAAACCATATATATATATATATAGGGTTTATCATCTATCTTATAACATGACCACAAAATTTTTTCTACACACACAACATTTTGTGGGGCCCTCAGCAAAAAAAAAAAACTTCAGCACGCAAAACGAATCTTTAAAACATAACACAATCACTTTTTCTACAACATAACTCTTATAAAACCCATATATATATATATATATATATATATATATGTATGGCTTTAATGTTTCTATAGTAAATGTAGGTATCTACATTCACTCCCAAAAATGATGTATTTTGGGTTAAAAAATTAAAAAAAGAAAGACTATTATATAACCCTGAAATAAATTATGATTATAAAAATACCTTTATTTTGTTTTTCCTAAAACGTTGTCATTTTAGGCTTAATCTAGATAACTTATCTATATTAACTGCAAAAAAAGAGAAACTAAATAAAAAGAGAATAAAATAAAAACGGAAACCAAACAAAAACGGAAAGTAAATAATAATGGGTTCGCTTTTTCTGCAGTAAGCCCAGTACGACGTCGTTTTAGGACGAAAATCATGGTGTTTTTGTAATTTAATTTATTTCAGGGTTATAATAGTCTTTATATTATAATTTTTTAAGATTTCAATACCAAAACGACGTCGTTTTGAGAATAAATGCAGATAACTTATCTACATTAACTGCAGAAATGTTTTTCCCAAAAGAGAAACTAAGAAGAAATGGAAACTAAAGAAAAGCGGAAACTAAAATGAGGGTTTTAATGTGATTATCAATTTAAACGAAAATGAAGATTAAAATAAAAAAGAACCGAGAATAATTAAATTAAAAGCAACCAACCCAAGAATTAGAATTCAAAGGATATCCATCATTGGACAAATAATTACCAAATTGTGGTTGACCCTAAGCGAATTTGAATCACTGCATTCGCTTAGGAACCCCACTCTAGACAATCGCCTAACGTTTGGTCGAATACGGCGAGTCTACTCGCGCAATCACAGAGTATCGACCCGTTCGACTTGAGTTCATTGGGTTAATCAACCCAACTATAAAATTTAATGGTTTATCTCTTTCCCAAAAACACAATCGCATATCCCAAATTGAACACCACAATCACACGATGTCAAACCGAGTTGGAAAGAGAAACAAATTGGGTTCAAAATGAGGTGCAGGTCCTCAGGATTCAATCATGAAATCTTCAAGCCTTGAGTTGATTAAAGAAAAGATGAGACAAAAAAGGACAACAAATTATATTAATTTCAAAATTGCAAAATGCAAATTCAAACGAAAGAAAGATGATCCACAAGGTCGATACTCTCACCTTTTTAACCCCTAATCAAACTGGGCTTTGGGCTCTTCAAATTCAACTCAAAATAAAAGAAAATAAAACAGAAATAATGACTTTGGGCCTTATGTACATTGGGTTCAAAATTATAACTTAAGCCCACTTAATTAACTAAAATTCCAGAATCACATTTCTAACTTGGCCTCCAACTTCGACCATCTGCTTGTCAGAATTGGGCTTCCATGTTATCATAACATTTGTAGCCCTCTGAATTATCTGCAAAAAAAAATAGAAGTGAGATTAATTGGACACCTGTAGCAAGAGTTATAATAAAAATACTACAGTAATGTAAATCTAAAAATTTATGATAAAAATGAATTAAATTAAATTAAAAGCCCAACTAAATAATTTAGCCCAAAAGTCCTTTATTCTCATAATAAACAATCCTAAAACTATTCATCAAGAGCACAAATAAGTAGAATAAATATTAATTATAAGACATATATAAAAGTATGTGAGGTCGATATAAAGAGAAAAGAAAAGAAGAAAATATGTGTCCAACATATTTTTATGTGTGTGTAAAAGATAAAATTATTTTCTATAACAAAAGAAATATTAATCTCATATATATTTACAGAATTTTTTTTAACTCTAATATAAGATCAAAATTATTTACTATCCATTTCAGTTATTAACTTCCCTTCACCTAATAATTTATTAAATTATATTAATTAATCAATTTCTGAATAAATTACCACCATTATATTAGAGTCAAACCATATTAAATCAATTTCTAAATATCGCTTCTCCTGTATTTATTCAATCAAACCATATTAAAAATGCTATTATCATCTAAATTTTATCATATCATAAGATTAACTTTATTCTTAAATGATATAGAACTGTAATTGGGTTAATCCCTCCCCACCAAGTGGTATCAATGTCCATGTCCCTGCTCCAAAAGCTGAACCCTTCAACTTGCACCAAACTGGTTCACTCAGCTATCAGAAGCGGGTCCCCCTTACCGGGAAAACTCGTTCATGCCCACATCATCAAGCTCTCAATTCAACCATCCCCCTTCTTGCTCAACAATCTTCTTCTCTTGTACGCTAAGCTCGGTCACTTGCATGCTGCCCAGAACGTGTTTGATGAAATGCCCCAACGAAACATTGTTTCATATAACTCCTTGATTTCTGGATATTCCCAAATGGGATTGTATGAAAAGGCCTTGCACGCGTTTGGTGAGGCCAGAAGGGCTGGCGTTGGGGCTGATGAGTTTACCTATGCAGGGGTTTTGGGCGTTTGTGGTTACACTGTGGATGTGCAGTTAGGGAAGGTGATTCACGGTTTGGTTGTTGTGAGTGGATTGAAGGGAATGGTATTCATGATCAATTCTCTTATTGGCATGTACTCGAAATGCGGCCGGATTGAGCCGGCAAGGCGTTTGTTTGAGACTTGTGATGAATTGGATGATGTTTCTTGGAATTCACTCATTGCTGGTTATGTTAGGTTAGGTAGTGAACAAGAGGTTTTCGAGCTTCTTGTGGGAATGCATCGGTCTGGCTTGATGTTTAGTGCTTATACTTTAGGAAGTGTACTTAAGGTGTGTTGTGCGAAGAGGAGTTTGAGCTGTTATGGGAAAATGCTTCATGGATACACGGTCAAGCTTGGTTTGGATTTGGGTGTCATTGTTGGAACTGCATTGCTCGATATGTATGCCAAGACTGAATGTTTAAAGGATGCAATTCGGGTTTTCAATTATGTTCCCTACCAAAATGATGTCATGTGTAATGCCATGATTGCTAGACTCCTGCAAGCACAGACAATCTCTAGTGAATATGCACAGGAAGCACTGTGTCTTTTCTGCAGGATGCGAAGGCAAGGATTGAAGTCCTCAAAATTTACGTTCTCGAGCATACTTAAGGCTTGTATTGCTGTTGGAGATTTTGAGGTTGGGAAGCAAATTCATGCTCAGATTTGTAAGAACAATCTTCAGTCCAATGAATTCATTGGCAGTTCATTAGTGGACTTGTACTCCTTTTTGGGTTCAGTGGAAGATGGGCTAAGGTGCTTTAATTCAACTCCTAAATTAGATGTTGTCTCATGGACATCCATGATTGCAGGTTATGTTCAAAATGGAAAGTTCGAAAATGCATTGTCTTTGTTCCATCAATTTTTGGCTTCTGGAAGGAAACCAGATGAGTTCATTATATCAAGTGTGATGGGTGCTTGTGCAGATATGGCTGCAGCAAGACTTGGAGAGCAGATCCAGGGTTATGCATTAAAATATGGTATTGCAAGTTTTACCATTATTCAAAACTCACAGATTTGCATGTATGCAAAGTCTGGAGACATAGATTCCGCTCAGCGGACCTTTCAAGAGACAGAGAAACCTGATGTGGTATCCTGGTCTGTAATGATTTGTAGCTACGCACAACATGGTTTTGCTAAGGAAGCTCTAAGACTTTTTGAGTTGATGACTGTTTCTGGAATTGAACCCAACCAGATCACATTACTTGGGGTCCTAACTGCTTGTAGCCATGGAGGTCTCATTGAAGAAGGATTAAGATACTTTGAAATCATGAAGAAAGATTATGGCATGGCAGCTAATGTAAAGCACAGTGCTTGCATTGTTGATCTCTTAGGGCGTGCAGGAAGGCTAGAGGATGCCCAAAGCTTTATTTTTGATTCAGTTTTTGAGGATGACCCAGTTATATGGCGTGCCTTGCTAGGTGCTTGCAGGGTTCATAAGGACACTGTCATGGGAAAACGTGTTGCTGACAGAGTAATAGAGCTTGAACCTCATGCAGCTGCATCTTATGTGCTTCTTTACAACATCTACAATGATGCGGGGAAAGAGAAGCCTGCTTTAGAGGTTAGGAAGCTCATGCAAGACCGAGGAGTTAAAAAGGAACCTGGTATAAGTTGGATTGAGGTAGGAAATAAGGTTCATTCATTTTTGGTGGATGATTGTTCTCATCCAATGAGTCAATTGATTTATTCACGGTTGGAAGGAATGTTGGCAAAAATAAAGAACATAAGCTTCGAGAATGTGAAGCTTCCTTTGGGCATCTCTGAATCTGAATTCAGCAGCACCATAAGCATGAACCACCATAGTGAAAAGTTAGCTGTAACTTTTGGAATTATTTCTTTACCAAAATCAGCACCAGTGAGGGTGATGAAGAATTTGAGAGTTTGCTCTGATTGCCATACAACAATGAAGCTCATCTCGAAGGTGGAGAAGAGAGAAATAATTCTTCGAGATACTATTCGTTTCCATCATTTCAAAGAAGGTTGCTGTTCTTGTAAAGATTACTGGTAGCTGAAAGATCAGTTCCTTGAATAGCATATTTTTGTCTGGTGTCATATGAGGGATTGGAGAAATGATACCTGGCAGTATTTAATGAAAGGAAGGGCATTGTCAAGCCCCTCAGCCAAACAGTCTCCTCCGTTTAACAAAAAGAGGGACTAAAAGTAACAGATTGAGATTATGATATAGTTTATTATTTCCCTGAAGTGGATGATTTTTATCTGTTAGATTGAGAAGACTAAAAGTAACAAATACCTCAGTCTGTTAGTTCTTTTTTTTTTTTTTTGGTACATTGCCAGGAGGTATCCCCATTCAACCTTCTCCGGGCACCATGCCCTCGGGGTACGGCCCGTTTGGGCTAGCCCCTCATTGTAACAGTGGGTGCACTAAGCTTCGCAACCGGAGAAAGGATGAGACTAATCCCCCAACCGAAGATTTTTTGGCTTATCCTCTGGCCCCCAAAGACAGTCTGTTAGTTCTTTATCTAAATGGGTGGATGATTTTGTATCTGTTATTATTCTCTTCTTTATGTATTCAACTTTCATTGGTTGATTGTTCTGACAACTTACAGCTTCAATCTTGAGAAATTGATGGGCCACCTTCTGAATCTACTCCATGGAACAGTTCTGTTAAACAATTTCTGCTTCTATCACTGCCCTAAATTGCGAATTACGGGTATGATTGTGTTGATATGGTTTTAGCTTCACAAGGATTAAGAAATTGTCACTTGTGGTTTCAAAACCAGGGATAGAAAGAAGGGGTGGCATCAAAAGACTCAAAACAGTGGAAATGAGAGGGGAATAAATAGATGAGTAGAAATGAGTAGGTTGTCTTTCAGGCCTCGACCACTTGACATTCACAAGAAGCTCCCCATTGTCAAGTCCATCAAGGACTTTGAAGATGATGAGGCACCCGCATCTACCCGTAATTCGCAATTGCTACGTGTTGTTCCTGAGGTTGAAAATGAGGTATGAGCTCTTCCTGGTGTTATGTTAATGCACCATGTTTCCCAGTTATTCTGTTTGATAACTTTTTGGTGTATGCCACTATGTTGGCTTGTTTAAATCTGGATATTTTTGGATTATCTGTATCAGTGTTCTAATAGTTACCAGCTATATGCTAGATTGTAGTTAGCATCAATGTGATGGCTGTTATACTATATCTCACTAGACCTTCACTTGCACAAATGGGAAAGATGTACACCATGTTAACCTGCACGATTGTTATTTTAATTTACTGAGTCGTGATTACCTCATTTGCTTCTATGATAAATAAGTAATAAATATTGTGCAGAATAGAAGCCTTGGTAGTTGAAATTTCAAATATTCAGAAGTAATCATGGATGTTGCTCCTCTATAAAAAAATTAACAGTAGGAAAGAAACCAGTTGATAAGGTATTTGTTATAGAAATATTGTCAATTTTATCAGTAATTTCTATTTATTTTTCTCAGGTACATCAAGCTCCCAGCAAGAAATTGGCTGCTGAAATACCTACTCCTCAGTATGTTGTTGTGGATACATACGAAAGGGACTATTCTTGCACTTTCTCTCAACCAACTTCCTATTTGCGGGCTAGAGGAGGTACCTGCACTAGATAGATCATTTATTTATATTAGAAATAATTTTGGAAGGTTCTTTTGTAAATTTCAATTCTTGCACTGTAAGTTCTTTCATTTGTTGCAGCTCGGGCTGAGATTGGAGAGTTTGTTGAGTATGACTTGGACAATGCAGATGAGGATTGGCTTTTAGAGTTTAATGAAGAAAGGAAGATTCTGACACCTGAAATGTAACTTATTAGACTGAATTCTGACTTTATTGTTTCAGTTAATTTATTTATTTCTGGTTGAAGAAAAAAGGAAGATTCTGACACCTGAAATGTAACTTTTTAGACTGAATTCTGATATTATTTCAGTTAATTTATTTATTTCTGGTTGCTAGAGGTTGGTTTCAGTTTAATGGTTTTTATCTATCTATTATGTGTGTGTGTGGTACTATTTTGCTAGAGGCTGTTTTGTTTTCATTTTTTTGTCTTCTGAGCTATGTATTCCAGACTGCTTTTTTGTCTTCTGAGCTATGTATTCCAGAGTGTGTGTGTGTTTGTGGTACTATTTTGCTAGAGGCTGTTTTGTTTTCATTTTTTTGTCTTCTGAGCTATGTATTTGCTTGAAATGAATGTGGTACTATTGATCATGGTTTGGTCAAATTATTTTACTATTATTTTTGTGACAGTAAATTAGCTTTTATTATATAGAATAATAGAAATTAATAAGTAGATTTTGAATTTAGAATCAAAGTAGCATTATTTTAAAGAAAATCAACAAAATATGGATCCTACACATAGAAAGTGGTTGTTCTAGACTTCCAACAGAATGTTTTGTCAGTGTTATAAAGTGGTTTATATTTAATTTTGGGTTTGGCCTGACATGTGACTGTCCTGAAAACCTTTTGGTGCAACCTAACAAGGATTTTTCATTTGGTTTGAGTCAGTCTTCTATGCCATTGAATTTTTGGTTGTTTGCCACATATCTTTTCATATCATCCTGTAATGTTAGTATAAGCTATGCATTACATATGCTGCTGTCTTTTTCTTCCAGTTTTCATTTAAAATGTTTGATGGATAGGTTTGAGAGTCTTATTTTCAAGTTGGAGGTATTGGATCATAAAGCTCGTGAAAGAGCTGGACTTATAACACCTACTCTCGGTTCACCAATTCCTGTGCAATTGTGGCTTGATACTGCTATTGAGGTAAAAAATTATGGTGTCTTTACATGTTCAAAATCCATCTTTCAAATCCGTTTTTTTCCTATGTTGCAAACAACCCTTTTTAATCTTTCTTTCCTATATTTATTTATTTACTTATGTATTTATTTATTTCTTATTTATTTTTCTTTTCCCTCAATTTTTTCTTGCTGTTTGTTTGGGTTTATTGACCGCCAACTTCAATTTGTTTGGAATACAGGGGATATTGATGGTGATGTATGTTGGTTGGTCTAGCTGCTAGAATTAATTAAGTTTAATTAATGCTTAATTATTTTGTACTTGGTTTACTAAGAACAGGCACTTTTCCTCTGGCTTTTGAATGATTCATCATTAGTGTATGAGCTGGGAAAGATGTATTTCATATTAATGGTTCTAGCTATTGTATGCTAAAAAAATTACTTGCCATTTGTCCGGAGATGATGGCATGAACATACTTTAATCAAACTTTTTAAAAGTTCTTTTTCAAATGTGCATATGGAGAACCTCACTTGATGAAGTTATCATTAAACCTCCGAGAAATCAAATTTATGAGAGCAAGAGTGATATTTTAAAAATAAGTTATGCAATGTAATCAGAAAAGGGTGGTATTCTGAAAAAAAGCTGGTACTACAAGTCCAGGTTCCAGAAAATACAAAACCTAGGCTTCACAGATTTTTAGTATGAAATAATGAATGAACTTGAATGGCTATATGTTTCAAGGAAAAAATCCTTTATATTTTCAAAAGATTCCTTTGTCTTATGTTATAAACAAAGTCTTCAGAAACGCCATTTAGATACCTAAGTCTAATGATTTCCCTTAAAGTTTTTCTTGGTCTCCGTCTAACTCTAATTATTGGGTTGTCCTCCATTTGATCAACTCTTATTATTAGGGCTTCTTCTCACATGACCATATGATCTTAGGCCAGATTCTACCATATTTTGCCCAATAGGTGCTACCTCTGCTTTCTCTCTAATGCATTTGTTCCAAATTTTGACTTTTATTTCCACTCATCCACCACAACATTCTTATTTTTCCAACACTTAGCTTATGCTCTTGTTGGCTTTCTACTACCCAACATTCATACGTTAAAGCATTGTCAATTTTATGGCTGTGCAGTAAAATTTTCCTTTGAGTTTGAGAGGCACCTTTCAATCACAAATAACACCTAAAGCATTTCTCCATTTCATCCACCTAGCTTGAATCCTATGTTTTACATCTTCTTTTTCTCTATCACTTTAAACAATAGATCCAAGATACCTATACAGTACTGAGTTAATATTATCCCCCTATGAGTTCTATTATCTAAATTATAATCGATTGTAATTTGCTATTTGCTTTTATTAGTCAGTATTTACCAAAAATATTGATGCTTTTTTCTCCCTTGTTTGCCATGTTTTGGGGGGCAGCAAGAACGGTGGCAAAAGCCCTTTTTGCGACGTTTGCAGGTTAGCTTTCAGAACATCACAATCAATATGTTCTTTGTCACTGGTATAATAGTGCATTTGTATTTGAAGTCAAATTTAAATATATTTGATGATTTATTAGTTCTATTATTCAATTCAGCTTCAATACCTTTGACTGATAATCACTGTATAACTAATAATAAGTCCTTTAACCTTTTACACGAAATAAATGTGTATGTAGTTTTTTATTGCGATCAAGAAAAGGTTTTGAAAAATAGCTTGACTAATTATTTGATTAATTTAATGAAAATCACGCGATTGGCACTAAAATTAAGAAATTCTTAGTAATATTTATTAAAAAAATTGGTTTTTGGCAACGAAGGACTATTTCTTAAAAAGAGAACAAATAAAATATGGAGGAGTCTCCTTTATTTATCTGTGTCAATGTTTCCGCCCTGCAACCTTCACAAGGGGACCGACCTCCAGGCCGTGTTCCACAGTGAGTATCGGTTGGATTGGACTGCCGACTTGGGAGCGTTTCGACAGAAAGGGCATGATAGATGAGAACCATGGCTGTCTAAAAATCTCAAGGCAACCACCGCAAGAGGTATGCTCATCGCTGTTTCTTCTTTTTTGTTATGGGTATCATCGTTGTTGTGGTCCAAAAAATGGTGTTCAATGAATGCCTCTAAGAACCCTAATAAAGTAATGTTCATTTACATTATTCTCTCTCTGTTCAGGTTGTACGAAAGAACCATTCACATTTTCCCCTTCTGATTGTCGACAAATATATTTGTCAGCCGCACGACTAGGTGTTTGTAGAGGTAATTGAACAGGGACAGTCACCTGCAAATATTGTATTACTCAAATGAATTAAATGTATGACTCAAACACAAGAAAGACTTGCTTCAAATGAATACTATACTATGTATGTGATGAGTTATGTTGTGTTTAGCAAAGTATCCAAAGTAAATAAAAATAGTTATCAAATGGAACAGTCTTATTTGTTTGATTGTGGGAATTTGTCTAAAAATCTGAGGGTGTAATTTGTTATTGAAACTTGAAAAATCCCTTCTTTTTCTGTGAGGATTTTCCCACTGTCTTCAATTCAATCACCCTTTCTACTTTTAATTGTTAAGAATAAATGTAGGATTAGGAAGATCCTGAGGGAACTAAAAAATGTGTTTCTTTCAACAATAGAATTTTTTTTTTTTGGAGTAAGAAATATTCTCATGTAAGAATTTTTCCTTTTCATCCACTTTTGGCAACCAAACAATGTACTATAGGGTGAGATGGCAATGAGCTAAGAACTGCTACAAGAAACTTTCGTCCAGATAGTGTGGTGGGTGAAGGTGGATTTGGTTGTGTATTTAAAGGGTGGCGATGGCAATAATGTTAGTAGACCTTCTTTTCTTCCCTTTTCCCCCCCCCTCTCTCTCTCTATATATATATACTATAGACAGAAATCAACTACCTGGGGCAGCTGTATCATCCTAATCTTGTGAAACTGATTGGTTACTGCTTAGAGGATGATCACCGAATTTTGGTATATGAATTTTTGGCCAAGGGCAGCTTGGATAATTATTTGTTTAGAAGTAATTTTTTTCAAGTAGTAACTGCCATGATTCATCTGTGTTACTTCCTGCTTGCTGGTTGTTAATTCTTAAATAATTAAATAAACCTTAAATCCCTGCTCTCTAGTTAATTACTTGACTTACTTTCAGTGTATCCTTGATGTGCTTAAGCTTTCTGACTTTGTTGCAGCTGCAGTTGACGGCCATTTATGCAATACTACTGTCATCAGTTTTGGGTTTTGGAATTGCTATGGGAATCAACTATGTATATATCCAGTATGTCACTTGGAGACTTCAGGTCTCTCATAATGATAGCCCAGTATGAATCTCCTCAGAAGGGAAATAACTTCATGGATTTTCTTTGTACCTACTGATACGATGGCCTTCAATCCGTGTTTATTTTGAACTTCATGACAGCAAGAGCAGCCCAAGGGATGGCAGCAGCAGCCCAAGTAGTGAGAAATGAATTAAAGACAGTGCAAACACCAAATGAGAAGAGAAACCATGAGGCAGGGAACGCAAGTCACAAGCAAGATAGCACCATTTTTTTTGTGAGGTTCAGTGTGGAGGAAAGGAGTCTGTAATTGGATAAGCATGAGTGTGCCATTCATCTAGTGTTGTTAGTTTATATTTGTGCAGAGCCATAATTGTTACAGGTTGTCAGAAACTATTGTAAAGGACACAGTCCTAATAGTGTAATTGGAATCCTGTTACTATTTCCTTGCAAATGTTGTAAGAGGATTACATCCTCAGTTGCTGAATATTCAATATAAGTGAGTACTGTTGCTGTTCATTGACTTGTGTTGCTGTTCATTGATTTACTGCATTGAAAATACATAAACCATTCCATTCTGTTTGATATTTCTCATTGCTAATCGGTGCCATTACAAAAGCATTTGTTTCCTCAACTGCCCTGTAAAATGCTGTTTGATATTACTCATTCATAATAGGAAGCAAGCACAAACAGTAAAAGGATTTGCGTACAGACAGTAACTGTATGACCACCACTTACAGATTAAACATCAACTGTATTCATGTTGATAACCATCTTACTAAATAAAATATCAAAGAGGACTTCAGTACAGAATGTCAAGGACAAGTGACTTGAAACTTGTTTACATATCACTGTGCAATATTAACTTACACAATTTAGACTACATAAGAATAGCAACAATATTACATCCATGAAACCACACTGCCTACTTTATAGAAATAAACAAAATTGTTCATAAATACCCACTTCATACACCCTACAGCAAAGACAGTAAACATGAATGGTTGATTGCAGTAGGCCTTTGGGTGTTTATCTAGAACACTTTGTTAGATTACTGCCGCACATCAATGATGGCAAACATGACAACCTGATGCACATTAAAGGCCCATCTTCATTCCCTCCAATGTTCTTCTCCATAGCGAGACTTTGTAACCTTTGCAGCATGACAAAATGACTAGGAAAAAAATTGCATGTTATAGCTAAAACAGAATAAATAGCAATGAGTCCATGTGATTGCATAAAAGAAATATATGCATCACTGCTAGTACTGAGCACTTACAGATGGATATGCAGATGAAATTACAATTCCCCCACGTCTGAATGAATTGTACTCCCAATGTCTTCTAAATATGGATTATAACAAGCCACAAAACCGAACTAAAAAGCAGTTTAGATGGTTGCCTAAAATTCCTATATACTCTCGATCAAAAAAGCTCTATATACTCTCGATCAAAATAGCTCTATCCAAGTAAGATCACTGATGGTTGCCTATACATAAATCAGGAACTTAATACCCATTGCAATAGCTAAAACCTTAAAAGAGGCTCGTTATGAGTTTATGTATTGAAATCATGGTGAATGGATCAATCTTCAATTCACAGAATGGCTAAAGCTTGGAAATCCTCTATCTTCGTGCATTGGCCCACTGCCTATTGTGATTCCCAGGTTTGAAATGTGAATTTCGTTGGCCACTCCCTTGCTTGGGGAGATCATTTATTTCCAGAACTTGTATTGTCCTCTGCCTCTTAGCTGCAAGCAACAATGAAACTTTCATCAATTAATTATGAACTTAGTAATGTGCCCCCAAATAAAGAAAAAATCATCTGAAAGTTGACAAGATAAATCCAACATTCTAGGCAATTAACTTTAGTGTAGAAGATTCTCTAGGAATGTAGAAACTACTGGACACTCTAACAACTTAAAATCAGATAGGAGTTTAGGACTTTGATTTTGGTAAAGGAATGACAAACCATTTTCAACTCGTTGATAACGCTCCTGAATTTTCCTCTTAGTGGCCTCTAGCTTTACTTGGACTGCAGCTTCTTCATCTGAAAGCTTGGATTTCTGATAAACAACATTTCAAGGTCAGAGAGAACTCAAACCTAAAAATTAGATGCACAGAGAGATTTTTTATTCTTACATCTTTCTGAATCATGGGAGGCTTCTTTGGGATTGTATTGTTCTCTATTTTTGGCTGCATCTTTGGCTCCATATTGCTTTTTCGCTGCATAGTTGATTTTGGGGGTCTGACAGGGAAATTATCAACAGTTTCTGGTTTATTTAGCCTCACAGCAACCTCATTTTTCCTTGGTTGCTGACTCTTACTGTCCTTGGCAGTGATGGATGGCTCAATGGAAGCCTCAGATTTGAATTGTCCACTCTGTTGAGGATCTGAAAAAACATTCCCCATTCATAATCATATTCTAAGATGAGAGGAATTCAAATCTAGAACTGTAAAGCAAAAGCTAGTCCTTCATCAAGAACAGATGGATTTACAGAATCTGGAGTGCCTTCTGAAGCTACAAATATTTAATAAAACCGCTTTTAAACATTTATTAATTTTAAAACGGATAAAAAAGCAGCAGGTTATTCACATGAAAGCAGAATTATTTTTTTCTACCTGCAATAGCTGTGGTAGTGGAAGCCTTGCACCACTCATCTACCATTTCTTTCCAGCAACTACAAAGTCAATAAATTATGAAAATGTTTAGAATGCAAGTGAACAAATTAAACAGATGCCACATCTCAACTTGTACACTAATAAATAATAGCTGACTTTTAAGCAGAAGAGACATGCTACCATAAGTGTGATTAACTAAGAAACAGGTTCAGACTAACTAAATCTAATAATTGATGGTTGATGACAGAGAATTACAGATGGGTCAGTGCAACAACAGTGAGTGAATTGTATTAATCTTCATTTACACACACAATACCAGAATAGCAAACCACTAATTGGAACCAAAGAAACTGGTTACAAGCTATTTCTTTGATCCATGTAGAAGAAGATAAACAGGTTCATTTATCTTTGTAAAACAAGCCAATGATACATGAATGAAAAACAAATATCCAGGAAAAACTTATTCATACTCAATAAGAGTTCGTGCGAGTTGACTAATATCCTTTGATCCATGCTTTCGGAGAGGAATGACAGCCTTTCCAATCTTAGTTTCCTGGCAAAGTTAAATTTTGAGAATTAGAGGACTCAAAAAAAAGGGCACTGGAAAAAGCAAGGAAAAAATTGTAGGCTCATTGAACGAGTAATAAGAAATGGTTCAATTCAAACCTCTAGAAGATTCACTTTGAGTTCCATCAGCTGGAGCCTCCTCAATGACTCAAATAACACAGAGTCAGACTGTTGTGACACAAAACAAAGCAACATGAATCAGGGACCAGAGGACATAAAAGAATTCAACCTTCAAAGAAGTACTAAAATGCCATCCAATAAAAACCATATTCATAAATTCAGAAACCTATCCGTTCAAAAATCTCATCAACCATCCAAGTAAATTGCAATACAAAGAAGCAAGAACTGATACAGAACATAAAGAAGGGAAGAAAAAAAAAACAATGAAAAGAGAAAGGAAGAGAGAGGATATACCTCTTCTTTAAAGTTAAGCAGAACTTTTTGGATCCTCAAAACCTCTCCACGGCCATCTCTAATGCTGTTGACCTTGCCGTCTTCACTTGCCCCTGCTTCAAGGGCAAGCCCATCATCAACGTCTTCATGATCCACCCTTTCACACCCCAAACATTTAGTCGTCAACATGCAAGAGAACAATCTCTCAGCAATCCCATCTCTCCTCAGCTTGAACTCCTTGGGGAAATCCGAAGCTGCCACCATGATGGAATGATGAATGATGTCGAATATATCAGACGACTTGGCAGTGCTAAAGTAATTCCTCCAATGATCCAGTGACTCAGACTTCATGGTCATTGCAAAATAACCACAAACCAGAGAATGAATTGAAAAAAAATTGAAAACCAGAGAATGAATTGACCAGAGAATGAATTGACCACAGAATGAATTGACCACTGTTGACGACAATAGAGAATGAGAATGAGAATGAATTGTTATAACCCAGCAATCACCAGAGAATGAGAATGAATTGACCAATGTTGACAACAATAGGATTCTCCTCCGATGCTTCTTATAAAGAAAAAAATCACGCGGTCGTAGCAATGATTAAGGGTGGAATCCGGAATCAATGCATAATTTATTATATTTTGGTATCTTGACGTTTGCAAATTTATTATTTTTCCCTATCTTGGGTTTGATTGGATTAATATTCGGCGGCAAGAAAGTTTCCAAATTTATTATCTTTTCGTATCTAGGGATTGGAGCGGATTCGGTAATAGAAATAAAACTTCTCATCGAATTTAAAATTGAGTTATTTCCAAATTGTTAACATAATTTTTCATTTAATTTATTTCCAAATTTTGAATTTATTTTACAATATAAATAATTTTGTTATTTAACAATATTTTTTTAAATGAGTTGTCTGCCACAATAAATGATTAACTTAATTTTTCATTGATTTTTTATTTATTATTATTTATTTAATTTTTTATTTCCAAATCCTTTCCCATCATTCCAATTTGAAATTTGAAATTGAAATCCAAAATTTGAAATCAATTCAGAATTCGAATAATTAAATGACCATTTGTGGTGGCAGGCATAAAAGAATAATTAATTAATAAATATAGTTTTGAAATTCGAAATTTTAATTGGATAATCAGGTGTTTTAATTGCTTTTTATGTTGGAATTGGTTGTCTGATCTGAAATTCGAAATTTGAAATGGTTTAAAATTTTTAATTTAAATATGGATGGTGGGAAAAGAATATCTTTTAAAAATCGAATTTTAATCTTTAAATCGAATAATTTAATGACCATTTGTGGTGGCAGTCAAGGCATTTAATGTCCCACTGCCCATCACATTGGTATCCAAAAAGAAAACAGCTGTTTTAATTGCTTTTTATGTTGGAATTGGTCATCTCATCTGAAATTCGATATTTTAAATGGTTTATCAATTAAATTTCGAAATTATGTATTTATTTTGCACAATCTAAAATTCGAAATTTTAAATTCAATAAAAAGAAAACTCTTTTCACGGACATGCATTCACGATCTCTATTCATGGAGATCAATAGAAACAAAAACAAATTTCACAATTGTTGAAGACCTGATTGTCATTCAATTCACAATTTCGTTATGGTTATTTTTTAAATGATATATACACAATAATGATATAATAAAGACATTATTTTTGTTATATATTTGATTCAAATATCATAACAATCAAGAATCAAGAGAGCTGACAGACAAAATAAATTAGATAATCAGGTGTTTTAATTGCCTTTTATGTTGGAATTGGTCGTCTGATCTAAAATTAGAAATTTGAAATGGTTTAAAATTTTGAATTTAAATATGGATGGTGGGAAAAGAATTTCTTTTAAAAATCGAATTTTAATTTTTAAATTGAATAATTAAATGACCG